TGCTTTCTCGCCTGTGTGCGGGGGGGGGGGGGGGGGAGGAAGCTCTGCTTGCAGTGGGACTGCTCCGCACTACAAGGGTTCAAGGGTTAAATGCTTGTTTGGGTCTAGGTTTGGGTAAAGTAGTTTTACTTGCCTGATCCCCAGCAGTCGGCACTATCCTAGTCTCTACACTCCGGGTTGTGGACTGTCCCTCAGTGTCCTTGTGTATAATGCAGGGCTCTGGGTCCTGCGTTCTTCATAATGCCAAGTGCTAAAGGCTGAGGGTGCCGGTCCTGTAGCCTGAATGGAGTCTGCAGGACCGGGGCTCAGGCAAGTCCTTTTACCAGGTACTCTAGACCTAAATGGGCATTTAACCCTTGCAGTGGGGGCAGCCAAACTACAAGAGAGACCCCCCACTTGCCTGCAGAACATAATGGCTGCTACACATTGGAATTTTAATGTCTGGATATTCTGCCTTTCTCTTGATGAGGGTTTTTGTTTCCTGGAAATAACTCCATATGAATGATACATTGTATATATCCAGACAGATCTTTTTATGTTTTCCTGTCTCTTTTACCCTCTTTGTAACTTTATTTTTGGTTTAGAGAGCTCAGTAGCTCAAGGTGAAATTGACACATTCTGCATTTCTCTACAGATAATCCATAGTGCTCCGTAGTGTAGAATGTCATTGGGTGAGATTGTGTAGAAGGTGTTACAATCTTTACACTTCTGTATCGATATTAACAAAATGAGACAAAAGGATTCTAGTTCCCTTTCAGGTCCGCTGCTCCTCTGAGGACAGTGGCTGTGATGAGCCCCGGTGATGGTCAATGTGTAATGCATATTTGGTGAATACATATTTTCACCATCTGTCAGTGTATGACCTCCGGGCAGAGTAGAGATAGATTCATGCCCCCGGGAGGCAGCGTTTCTACTTCCTGCCAGCTGCTGATTGGTCAGTTTCTTTTACGTATTGACTGAAATGGTTTTCAAAAGGTTCCGGTTCAAATTAGTTGTGACTTCATGTGGTGTCCATACGCATTAGATTATGAACGGTTACAAATAGGGATGCACCGATACCGGGTTTTCAGTATCGAGTACCGATATTTATATTTTGGTATACGCCGATACCGGTACTTCTGGTAGCATAGAGCCGACCTCCCGGCTTGTCATTACCCACCACCTGGCTTCTTGATTGCCCGGAAAGCCGACTCCATTCTGTTTGGCCGGCTCAATTCTGATTGGCTGGGAAGCCGACTTCCCCGCCAATCGGCATCGAAGCCGGCCTAACAGATCTGACAAAATGGTGACACAACCCCCCACCCTGCAGGCACCTCATTCCCCTCACATAGATCCTTAGGAGCATTAATTAACATGCCAGTCCCTCGGCCAGCTGGGCAGACACAGCTCTCCCGGATCTGCCCACGTCTCCTGTGTGCACAGCGCCTGCGTGATCGGCCCTCAGCCTGCTACTGCGCACGCAAAGACTGCCCAGCGCTCTCATTCAGAAATCCTGTGCATGTGCAGTAGCAGGCTGAGGGCCGATCACGCAGGCGCTGTGCACACAGGAGACGTGGGCAGATCCTGGAGAGCGGCTTCCTGGCTCCATGTTCCCTCGCGGCACTGCCGGTCAGAGAAAATCTCCCTCGGACCGGAAGTTCCAGTGTCGGGGAAGGTATCGGAGCATTTGGGTGAATAAGAGTACTCTGCCAAATACTCGATATCAGCACCGATATTAGTATTGATATAGGTGCATCCTTAGTTACAAATGTTCTTATTTGATGACAAATGGTGTGAGCCGCCATACAATGTGCTGCTCACACATTATGACTCGTCGATGTGTTGCTATTCATACAGAAAACTGACCAATAGAAAACTCCTAAACATCCCACTAAGCTGCCTCCTTGTTGCAGCTTTGTAGCCTTAGGCCTCGTTCACCCTGGGCGTATCATGCGCGCTTCAACACGCGTTTCACAACACGTGCACTGACACGCAACACGCTTGCTTTGCTATTACTAGGTAATCGCACCCCTAACACATGTTGCCAAATGTGTGACATACATTTCTTTGGTGTGCGTCGCATGGCGAAAGCCTAGGAACGCATGTCACTGCAGTGTGCATTCCTGCTATGGTGTAAATGGGGCCTTTATGTAATTTGAGGACAAAGTAATGCAATCCTGACAAGAGAAGAATACTTTTACTGCATCCTGATACATTGTTGGTATGGTGTGCACATCCCACAGCCGGGATCGGGTTGGTGGACGGGAATAATGTAAATTGAAGTCTGTGATTGCAGAGGAGTAAAAATACACAAGGCAACATTCATCCCCCCTTCCACTATGGGCACGGGGGGCTGAATGGGGGTGCGGCAGGTGAACCTGACTATGGGACTAGACACACATTGCATGGGCACGGCGTCCTGTATCTCCCAAGTCAGGAGTAGAGGGGCACACTGACCCCACCATGATGGATCTGCTTCTGTGCTGAGCGGGGTCAGTGTGTAATGCCGCTGAAGGGGAAACTGTCGGAATCACCCGATTTACTAAAAACAAAGGCAATAGAAAGTTCAATGTACCTCAGTCCTGTCCCATCTGAGAGGGTTTCGGAAGGTTCCGGTCGCTCCTCGTTCTGCTGCAGAATTCTCATTCACAGGTTCCGGGTTGTTAAACTTTGTAACCTGTATGATCCCGTGATTGGTAATCGGCGTGTACACATGGATGATATAAGGATGTGTTATGTAATGTTACCTCATGTGTGCTGCTAATCTCTGTCTGGGACAAAGTACTAATCGGGCCTGAGAGGTGCCAGACCAACGCCGCTCTGTGTGTCCTAAAATAGGCTGTCCTAAATATCTTCATCTTATCCTATATATTACATAGTTTACTTTACATAGTTGCACATTCATATCAGTCCCTGCCCTCAAGGAGCTTACAATCTAAGGTCCCGATCCCACATACATGCATACGAGGGCCAATTTAGACAGCAGCCAATTAACCTTCCTGCATGTCTTTTGGAGGAAACCCCCCAGCACAGGGAGACCATGCTAACTCCTTGTAGATTGTGACCTGGCTGGGATTCGAACCAAGGACCCCCTGTGCTGCAAGGCAGAAGCGCTAACCACTACGCCACTGTGCTGCCCATATATCATGTCAGTTTACACAGGAAGATACTCGGGTCTGTCTTCACCAAACATCCATCACGTTATCTGAATTGGATTTGTAAGCCAGATCATTAGACCGGCTACATACAATTGTGCATATGCTTTGCATACTATCCGTGTTGATTCAGACTGACCATGCGCACCGGGCGCGCTCCCATCCCATTTGGTTGTGATGGAGGTAATTATGTCGCCGGGTTTGGTTCTTGCTCACGGTGATCTGTGGTGGTGGATGGATGTACCACCACCACCATCCTCTGCTGCCATAGATGGAGGATCCTATTGTGGAAAATGATGTATATGTGGAACTACCTCTAATACTGCTCATCATATCAAAAATGGAATAGAATTCAGTTTTTCTTTTTATATAAATATGGTCACTACAGATATTAACTTGTCATCAGATTGTATAGTTCTAATATGGGGATGTAAACAGTTGTGCCTGCCAGAGGACTTGTAATGCTGTTCAAACAGTCTTGTAATTCCTGCACTGCATTTCCTGTCGGGTGACACCACTAGACCCTGGCTCAGTTTTGCAGCTTCCCATGTCACCAATTTGCTTACACGGTGCTAGCGCACCGTGATGTCATGCTGTTTCATCAAGCAGGTGACACAGGCTGTGTTTAATAGTCCAGATACATCCTAATTCATTGTGAGGTTGAGGTGGCAATATAGAAATGGCCAATGCGTTTCGGAGGATCATATGAATTCCCCTTCATCAGGGCTTACTGAGGGAGAACATGTATCAGGACTGTGATGACGGTTCCATTCGGTGTATGAGAATTCAGAGAGCTCTGTATGTATCCGGACTATGAAATGGAGTGCTGTGCTTCAGTCCACGATCCTGAAATCCTCTATATACCGGAAGCATTATGTTTACTACCATAGTACATATGTTCTGTACTCCTCACATGGGTCCAGGCTGAGCTCCAGCTCCCCTCAGTATTGCTGTTCATGGATGACTCTGTTCCTGGAGGGTTTGTTTTGGGCTCAGTATCATAATATTCATTGAATACCATTTTTTTATATATCGCATTTCTTGCTGCATTGTGAAATCTTTTTGCCTCTCTTGTAGTGTTCCCGCCTTACACCATCTGAAAATGTCACGTGTCAAAATCCGCCTACCACACCAGTGTGTGACTCCCCCGGATCCCAAAAAACATCTCGTCAAGTCAACGGACTCATAAATTGGTTAGTGTCTTCAGGTTACTAATACAGTAAATGTCAAGTGTCCTGTGCCAGAGCTCGGCTTTTCTTTCTGGTTTGCCGGCCCGTAGATTCTGCTCGTATGCGAGTTTTATGAGGAGCTGAGGGTCTGGGGTGATTGTATGATGAGCCGGGGGTCTGGGGTGATTGTATGATGAGCCGGGGGTCTGGGGTGATTGTATGATGAGCCGGGGGTCTGGGGTGATTGTGTGATGAGCCGGGGGTCTGGGGTGATTGTGTGAGGAGCCGGGGGTCCGGGGTGATTGGTTGGTGGGTTGGGGCCCGGTGTCTGGGGTGATTGTATGATGAGCCGGGGGTCTGGGGTGATTGTGTGATGAGCCGGGGGTCTGGGGTGATTGTGTGATGAGCCGGGGGTCTGGGGTGATCGTCCGTGAGGTCCCTTTCTCTGGAATGATCATGTGTAGTGTGTGCCGTGCTTATTAGGAGATTGTGTTTATTTTGTCCTGGTGAATCCTGCGGTTGGAGGATGGTCGGCGTAATGTGTGATTGGGGTCCGTGTCTCTCATCCTTGGTAAAGGTCTTCCTGTCTTTCAAAACGCTAAGGGCCCATTCACACGGTGCCTTCCGCTAAAACCCTGCATGTGTTGTGGCAGCTCTGACAGCGTACACACAATGCCGGGACTGTCACTGTTTACTTTTTTAACTTTATTGGTAATGTACAATGTGTACACCCGTCCAGGTTCCCACGCAGCCGTGTGATGCCGCGACCTCCGGGGACATGGACTGCGCTGCAGAAAAATTGCATGTTTAAATTTTTCCACAGCACAACCCTCATTGCACAACAGTTTCCTGTGCGTCCTAGGTATGACATGTGTTCTGGTGCGGTAAAACGCAGGGCACCACTGTGTGCGATCAGGCCCCAGGTTTAGTGGTGTATATTAAAGAAGAACTCCGTGTCTAGGTGCTAAAACATTCTACTCACCAGACCATCCTAGCCGGCTTGTTCCCTGGAGCCTCTCTCCTCCTGCACTGCAGCAGTCTAAGGCCTTGTTCACACCAAATTCAGACCAGATTTGCATGAGTTTCTCTACACGCAGTGCAGGGGGTTGTGCTGCGTTTTTGATGTGTTCAGTGCCGTTTTTGGTTAGAAAAAATATTTTTTTTATTTTAAAATGAGCGTTCCAGGGCGTTTGCATGCGTTTTGATGCGTTCCAGAACACAATAGAGCTTGCAGTTTTTTTTACATGCTCTGGAACTGAACGCTGCGGTGTGAACTAGAGCCCAAAATACTGCATCCTTTAGGGTACGAGCGAGGTACGAGTACCGATACTTTTGATCAAGTACTCGCAGATACCAATTACCGATACTTTTTCTTAAAGGGACAGGTCACATTTTTTTCTAAAGCAATACAAACTAATGCTTTAAGGTCACTTTCTTAATATTATGATTCATGAGATGACGAGGGAGCATGACGCCAGCTTCCCGGCCAATCAGAATGCCGGGCGCTGCGTCATTACACGGCTTCCGGATTTGCTAGCTTCCTGACGAATCGGGAAGCCGGGTGGCGCGTCATTGCACGCTACCCGGCTTCCTGTCGGGACGGGAAGTCGGCTCCATGCTCTCTCCACAAGTGACGAGAGAGCATGGAGCCGTTTCCTGGCCAATCAGGAAACCGGGCAGCGTGTAATGATGCGCTTCCCGATACAGGAAGTACTCGTGCTAGGTATCGGAGCATTTGGGCGAGTACGAGTACTCACCCAAATACTCGGTATCGGCACCGATACTAGTATCGGTATCGGTGCATCCCTACGATCCTTAACAGCCAAGGAAGGCCTCGTGGCCTCAATTTGGATTTTGGTTGCCATGGTGCTGCCCGTGTGATCAGCTATGACGCCAGCCATTGCAGGGTTTGAAAGTTTGGTTGAGAGCTGAAATAAACACACAGACAACCATGGCAGCAGTCGCCAGAGGCGTGCCGTGAAAATCACCGTTCAATGGGACAAGCTCCGCTTTCATTACACATGCCTCCTGGAGAGTATGAGCATCCAGAATACCCCCAACATGGAAATGCTGCTCATACCTCGTGTACACTCCCCTCTCCTGATCCGGATTGGTCCTCTGTAGCACATTATGAAATAATTGTATTTTCTCTTCTGGGATTCCTATGGTTGTTCTGGTGTCTGATTTCAGAGCCCGTCGTTGTGTTCTTTTCTAGACGCCGAGGTGTGATCGTGGGGCGCGCACAATGCTTTGCTTTGACTTCTAATAAACCTGTGGAACCTGTTTTGCTGCTTTTCCTGTGTGTGGAAACACCGAACATTGTACATACTAAAGCTCTAATCTGCTCCTCTGTGATCCTTCAACATGCATTTCATCCATAAGGACTGAGCATGAGGAACTGTGTTCATGGAACACGACCACCTTTGTTGGGGGCGGGGGGAGGTGCAGGGATAGCCGTACACCGGCCCCTCGTCCTCATGTCCTCATCTGTAATGGAGGGTTTGGTATTCCCAGGCTCACCCACTGCATACAGAGAGCCTGATGGATCAATAAGTAGATGTGACCGCACTGCGCCCAAAGGACAATCTAATAACACAAATATTATGGGGGGGAATTTATCAAACGGGAGCAGTTGCCCGTGGCAACCAGTCGGCTTCTCTTTTCAGTTTGCTCAGGTAAGGTTTGAGAAAGAGAGAGAAGCTGATTGGCTGCCGCGCAAGTCTGCTCCAAATTTGTCTGCTCCAGTTTTGATAAATTCCCGTCACGTCTCCTAATTGCAATCGTTTATCTAAAACTGTTTAGTATTTTTTTATTATTATTTGGCGGCCATGTTTTCTGTACTTTTACAGTTGCCTCATTAGGTCCTGCCATGGGGGGGGGGGGTACAGGAAGCTGTTTTAGGGGGCGAGCTCTTTGTAATACAGTGCACCTCAAATGCGCCTTAAAAATGACAGCCGGTGACCAACGCTTGAGGTTTTGTCCTATTGGTCGATTGGAGTTGGCTTTCAGATTGGGCTGACTGGCTCCTGAATGAATTAGTCCGCCCCTGGTGTAACTTGGTGTTGGGAAATATTCACCTTCCTACTCTCCTCTGAATCCAGAATAATCTCCTCCCGTGTAATATCGCAGACAGGGGATCACCTCGTCTCTGTAATCTCTCCACATCATTTCTTCATTCTTGTTTCTGAACCTGAGGAAATTCCCTCGACCAATCGGATTATTCGGGTTCCCGCTTCTAATGACGGGGATTGCAGAGGAGCATTCCACGTACAGAACCTGAGATGGTAACATTGGGTCGCTGATCTGTGATCCGGTGGGCGGGGTCAGGCGATGGCTCCCATGGTGGGAACTCTTTGTTCGGGATTGCTGCTGGTGACTATTTGCTGAGCAGATTTACTCCCAAGGACTTTCCTGAAGTCACACGAAGACTTCTGTCCTGATGGGGACTTACTGTACTTTTTCTGGGATAGGGACTGCATTGACGCCGGAGGGTTGGCATGACCACCAGGCAACTGGCATTTGCAGGATGGCGAGTAGCACCGGCATCCTCAGTGTCCTTCGAGAGAGTTCCTGATCTATAACCTTCCCTTCAGTTGTACCGGCTCCTCTTCCTCTGTCACTGCACACTGCGAGCTTCTCACAATGTGCAATGTGAAGCTACAGTAATTCTGATGGGGCCTGCCTCGTTTCCTGGCTGGAGGACATCCAGCATCATCTATCCATTTGCTCCCCAGCCTGACTGTCCCTGGTCCCGCCCCCTTTCATTAGATTTCTGTTCTTTCAGTCATGGAGGCTCCGCATCACGTGTGGGTGTTATTCAGGGTGGTCTGTGTGCAAATGCAACCTGCCTAGGAACGGCCACTCCTCCCGACTGAGACCAGTCCGAGGCATTTTGATATTTGCATAACTCCTCCTAAGTGCCAACCCACTGCTTGCATGATATCTGAGCTTTTGAGAGGAGCACTGAGACAGGGTGCTGTGATGTTTTCATGATGCTATGTACAGCACCCTAACGGCCCCTCCCGCCTGCATTGCATAGAGAAGCTCAGACCCAGTGATGTCGCTGAAACTAAAATAAGGGATGCAATGGAAAGGTTTTGTTGAGCCGTTAGCATGTTGATGAGGGGGGGAGGGGAGAACTGGGAAAGGCTTTTTTGTCCACCTTTGTTTAACCAATTGGCACAAAGGAAAACTACTACTACCATCCCACTGACATCCGACTGAGCTGTGTCCTGGAATATAGGCAGCCGGTCATGTTGGAGGTCAATGGGATTGAAGTTTGATACAAAGTTGGACAGATTCACATGGAGCCGGTGTGTCCAATCAGGGAGTCTGCTGCATTGACGGCAACTAGAGAGAACTTGAAGAGTTATGTGGCGGCTGGGGGCACATTGGGGACCCGGCTCCTGGGATTTGTTGTCCCCCCGGGTTATGTCATGGCACCAGAGCAGATCGGCTGTGCCAATCCTTGCTGCTTTCTGGTTCTAGAAGTCCTGACGTTCCAGCGGTATGAAGATTGCACGTTTATTAAGTTCTGAATTCTTAGGAAGCATCTCCTACTTCAGTCCGCGGCGCCTTGTGTTCTGTGGTCTCATTGTCTGTCTCTCTCTCTCTCAGTGTGCGTTCCAGTGCGTCTTGTAATGGCTCTGCAGAGGGTTTGGATCCAGAGGAGGTGTTGGGTAAAAAGCGTCGTGTGGATACCCCGTCAGCATCACCAGCACTATCCGATTCCACCTGTGTGGCAGCTAGAACGCGGCCCCTGCGTGGGCACAAGAAGCGCAACTTGGTCCGGTCCAGTGATGTGTCCTCCCTCAGCAGAAAGGTAGGAACCCTTTTTATGTAACCCAGAAGGAAATGTGCAGCTTGTGTCTTGTTTCGTGTGTGAAAATGGAGGAGCGGAGCTCGTTCCCTCTGAGGTGCCGTGTGAATCTGCAGCCTGGCATCCTGCTTTTACCATTGCCACATTGCAGCAGACACCCGGCACCTTCCGAGATGCGTTAGTCTGCTGGCCCCTTGCCATGTACTGGTCAGGACTGCTATTTGTATAACATACAGAGTACTCAGGCGTGTACTGTAATCCTGTGTACAATGTCTTCCCTCCGTGTGTCCTCTGTACAGTCCTATGTCTTCCCTCCGTGTGTCCTCTGTACAGTCCTATGTCTTCCCTCCGTGTGTCCTCTGTACAGTCCTATGTCTTCCCTCCGTGTTTCCTGTGTACAGTCCTATGTCTTCCCTCTGTGTGTCCTCTGTACAGTCCTATGTCTTCCCTCCGTCCTCTGTACAGTCCTATGTCTTCCCTCCGTGTGTCCTCTGTACTGTCCTATGTCTTCCCTCCGTGTGTCCTCTGTACAGTCCTATGTCTTCCCTCCGTGTGTCCTCTGTACAGTCCTATGTCTTCCCTCCGTGTGTCCTCTGTACAGTCCTATGTCTTCCCTCCGTGTGTCCTCTGTACAGTCCTATGTCTTCCCTCCGTGTGTCCTCTGTACAGTCCTATGTCTTCCCTCCGTGTGTCCTCTGTACAGTCCTATGTCTTCCCTCCGTGTGTCCTCTGTACAGTCCTATGTCTTCCCTCCGTGTGTCCTCTGTACAGTCCTATGTCTTCCCTCCGTGTGTCCTCTGTACAGTCCTATGTCTTCCCTCCGTGTGTCCTCTGTACAGTCCTATGTCTTCCCTCCGTGTGTCCTCTGTACAGTCCTATGTCTTCCCTCCGTGTGTCCTCTGTACAGTCCTATGTCTTCCCTCCGTGTGTCCTCTGTACAGTCCTATGTCTTCCCTCCGTGTGTCCTCTGTACAGTCCTATGTCTTCCCTCCGTGTGTCCTCTGTACAGTCCTATGTCTTCCCTCCGTGTGTCCTCTGTACAGTCCTATGTCTTCCCTCCGTGTGTCCTCTGTACAGTCCTACGTCTTCCCTCCGTGTGTCCTCTGTACAGTCCTATGTCTTCCCTCCGTGTGTCCTCTGTACAGTCCTATGTCTTCCCTCCGTGTGTCCTCTGTACAGTCCTACGTCTTCCCTCCGTGTGTCCTCTGTACAGTCCTACATCTTCCCTCCGTGTGTCCTCTGTACAGTCCTATGTCTTCCCTCCGTGTGTCCTCTGTACAGTCCTATGTCTTCCCTCCATGTTTCCTGTGTACAGTCCTATGTCTTCCCTCTGTGTTTCCTGTGTACAGTCCTATGTCTTCCCTCCATGTTTCCTGTGTACAGTCCTATGTCTTCCCTCCATGTTTCCTGTGTACAGTCCTATGTCTTCCCTCCATGTTTCCTGTGTACAGTCCTATGTCTTCCCTCCGTGTTTCCTGTGTACAGTCCTATGTCTTCCCTCCGTGTGTCCTCTGTACAGTCCTATGTCTTCCCTCCGTGTGTACTCTGTACAGTCCTATGTCTTCCCTCCGTGTGTCCTCTGTACAGTCCTATGTCTTCCCCTCCGTGTGTCCTCTGTACAGTCCTATGTCTTCCCTCCATGTTTCCTGTGTACAGTCCTATGTCTTCCCTCCATGTGTCCTCTGTACAGTCCTATGTCTTCCCTCACAGCAGAGGCTGCATGGAGCACACCTGTATATAATGGAAGTCCCAGCCTGATCAGTGCCCACAGGGCTGTATGTAAAGCTGAGCTCCAGAATTTTTTAATATAGTTCCCTTGCAGTGGCTCCTGGAAGGAAGAGGAACAAGCTGTAATACTTAAGTCTCTGACCATGCCCTCTCTGACCATGCCCTCTCTGACCATGCCCTCTCTGACCATGCCCTCTCGGCCCATGCCCTCTCTGACCATGCCCTCTCTGACCATGCCCTCTCTGACCATGCCCTCTCTGACCATGCCCTCTCTGACCATGCCCTCTCTGACCATGCCCTCTCTGACCATGCCCTCTCTGACCATGCCCTCTCTGACCATGCCCTCTCTGACCATGCCCTCTCTGACCATGCCCTCTCTGACCATGCCCTCTCTGACCATGCCCTCTCTGACCATGCCCTCTCTGACCATGCCCTCTCTGACCATGCCCTCTCTGACCATGCCCTCTCTGACCATGCCCTCTCTGACCATGCCCTCTCTGACCATGCCCTCTCTGACCATGCCCTCTCTGACCATGCCCTCTCTGACCATGCCCTCTCTGACCATGCCCTCTCTGACCATGCCCTCTCTGACCATGCGCGATGGTTTGTAAGATCCAGGCGGGCGCTCGCAGTGACCATAGATGGAATATATACAAGTTTGAAAGGTTGTCACCAGCACACCATTGTAAAGAATAACGAGCCTGATGAAGGGGACCCTGTGCGGCCCCAAAAGCGTTTGTACTGGAATGGCAGTTTTCAATCAATAAATGGGACTGTCGCTGATTTCACTTACCATGGTGCGCTGGTGACATCCTTTCAAACTTGCTTTCTCCGTCCTCGCATACGATGCTGTCAGTCCGGCATGAAATGTGATGTCCGGCTGCGACCACAAGCTGGGGCACCAAAGAGAAGAGGCATTGATGTACGGGTCACGCGGTGGATACCTGCCAGAGTGAAGAATTGGTTAAGTATTACAGCTTCTTCCTCTACCCCTATCCATATCAAACAATATTCCTTTCACATGTTGGGTAAGAAGAATGCTGATTGACTGTTATTGATATGAATATACATCTATTATACGCATAAAATATCTATATATGTTGGTGCTTTCTTTGTTTAGCCACAGAAGCCGCTGTCTATGAAGTGTGGATGTGACCCTCCCACCACATGTATCCTCTGTGGTTGTAAGACATATGCAAAGACATCCCACCCCAGCACCATGGCTCTCAATGAGCGGATAGCCCTGATGGACCCCTGCTACCACCCCATCCTATCCTTCCCCTATGGTAAGTCTGAAACCCAGAAATGGATTTTATTCTGTCATCTCAGTTTTGTTTTGATTCTGTATAAAAGCTCATTTGTTTAACCCTTTCGCTGCCACCTACTGTAAGGGTTATGTTTGTGGCAGCACGGGCTTTTTAAATGCATTGCCGTCTCCTATAGCAGTCTGCAGTGTGTTTTACATTTCACAAAAGTAAGGGGCAGCTCAGCATATGCCCCCTTACCCCCCACATTTAGGCCCAAGACCCTTCAGGCAGTCACCAGGAGTACCCCCAGTTGTACTGCCTTTGGACCTTCCAAGGGTTTAAAGCTTCCCGTGTCCCTCAGTGGATAACATGCAATGTTGTTTCTTCCTCTGTCCCCCCCCTTACATAACTGCTGTATCCTGTAGGGGGGTGGGAAGGTGCAGCTATATTGCAGGGCTGAGAATGCTCGCCTCAAACACTTTAGGAAGTGTCAAGGAGACCTGGGCTGCCAGAGAGGGGGGCTTTCATTCTATCAATTTTTTTTATTTATTGAGACCCGCTCTCACCCCTGTTTATGATCATGTACCTTGGTACTCCTTTCCAACACAACTGAGGCATGCTGGGAGTAGGACAGTTATCCTGGGCTGGCCATTGTCAAATACTCCTGTAGGCGTCAGTATAACCCAGGAGTCAAGACTTTCATGTGTCCCTCAATAGACTACAAAGTATAATTTTACATGAAGTACAAAGATGCTGTGATCACATGACTATAGAACATCATGCATGAAAAATGTGAAAGTGATGCGAGTATTTTCTGATATAAAATTGTTACTTTTTATTACGGCAGAATGTGTATTCGCTGACATTCTAATCCCTGTATTAGACGGCTCTCTCTGATTGGCTGTTTGCTTTTACAGACACACCCCTCCATTTGCACTTTGAAGCGTTGCTGAAAGACGACAGACAGTTCCGCATCTCTAATAAGCTGAAAATCCTGAAACTTTCTCAACTCGCCAAGAAACCCCACGAGGCCGGCAGTAAGTGGACAAACGCATCCTTTGTGAAATGCCGGTTTTGGTTTTTTTTAAGGCCCCATGACAAATGATATCAGGACAGGAGGTCATAGACAGCAGATTGGGACAGGATCAGGAGATTGTCATCCACAGTGCATGGGCATACCAGAACCCTCATTCCAGGGAGCTCAGACGTTGACTTTGGGTGACCGGTTTCCTTCATGCTGGAGGTGATCAGGAGAGGCTCATTCAATGTTATGTGGAGAATTGGCAGAGATGCCAGATTAATATAGGACGGCAGAATTGCAGCAACATTCAGGTCAGCTTTATAAACTGTCACTAGGTAGCTCCTTCCACACGCTGCGATCTTTACTGGGTGCCCAAGATCACGAAATCTGCAGGAAGAACCCTTTAGCATAGTCTGTAGCTGAGGAGTCATGTTCTTAACGCCCCATTCACACTGAGCGACATGAAAATCGCGCGACCTTGAGCGACTTTTTCCTATTGGGCTGTATGCAATCAGGAGCAATATCGCTCAAAATCGCTCTTAAAAAGGGTCATGTAGGAGCACTCCCATGCACTCTCGTAGGAGCGACAAGCTACCAGCGATATTGAGCGACGAGATGTGAACAGCTCCATTGAAATGTATTGGAGAAGCTACATAGAGCGATATCGCGCGGAAATATGAACGATATCGCTGCAAAAATCGCACGATAAATCGCTCAGTGTGAACGTGGGCCTTAAGGAGAATTATGAGGCTGAGTGATTTTCATAATCTGAGCCGACGGGTGACAATGAGACTGTCACAGGTCGGCTCAGTAGATCGGGAAGTGAGAGAACATATACCGGCGTTCGCTCACTTCTCGATCCTGTCCCGGCAGAGAGCCGTGACTGTCACTCACGGCTCCCTGCAGGGATCCCCCCCACCTGTCAGATCCTCCAGCGCTGACTGGAGGAACGGAAGGGTGAGGGGGTGGGTACATCTGGCTCTGCATCTGGATAGGCAGAGCCACCTGTCAATCCCCCAGCTGGGTGGATCTCGATAGCAATGTCGGGATCCGTCCTGGCTGCGGCGTCTCAGTATACCACGAGCTGTAGCTCACTGTATACTGAGCTTTGGGTGACGGGAGAATGCTAGTTTGTGTCCTCCCGTTACCCTTAGGAGAACTATGGGGAAAAGCCCTAACCCCATAGTTCTCCTTTAAAGGACAAATGCATTTTTATTTTATTTGTTGCCCTCTTCTCTTGCAAACTTATCTGAACCTGATGAGGCGTCTGGGGTTTACATCCATAAGTCTTCACTGTCCAGCCTGTGCATTGCAGCCCCGAAGACTTCTATAGGCTTACGTCCTGAGGCTGGAGATGGTGCCATAGAAGCCTTTGGGGCTGTAACGCACAGGCACATCCAGCACGGAAAGGACTTGTGGTGTTGGATGTAAAGTAACAGCATAACCGCAGCTGTTGAATCGAGGAAATTATGCATCTGTGTCTGGGAGGTGGGTGGGTTAGGTCAGGGGAAGGGAAAAAAATAAGTGCTTTAAAGCTCGGGTTGCGTCTCAAGGCATAGCGTACACAGTTCTGTCTGTCACCTACCCGCCCTCACCCCCCGTGACAGCACTGATTCAATTACCAAGCACCAGTGCTGTCACATGGAGTAAGTCTTCTGCTCCTGTATATCTGGAAGGCTCAGGTATTCCCCTGGCTCCCAACAGCTTAACGAAACCTGCGGGGGGGGGGAGAAGGTAAGAGGTGTGCTGCTGCACGACCAGACTTTAAAGCAAACCTATTTGGCCTGTGTGGGCCCCGGGACAGGTTTGATTTTCAGTATGGTAGACCGTATTCTTCTCAAAAGACAAGCCTCACTTCTATCGATCTTCATGAATTAAAACAACTTTTATTAATTTAAGGAATACATACTGTGAAACAACATTCCATGTATACAATACCCCTCCCGGATTTCTCCAATCTGGCTTGGTCATAGGCAGTATGCTGCGTGAATGGGAGGCTGGCAGCTGTATATTTCTTGGATATGAAGTTTGTACGACACTGCAGCTAGAAAGTGAGCCAGCCATTGAAGCAGAGCAAGAAATGTCGACTTTTACCTATTGTATCAGCTGTAGGTTTCCTGCCATAGTCACAGAAGGATAAGGTTCTGTCACCCAATATCCGAAATATGGGCTGAAATTCATGTGATTGGTACATTTGGGAGTCTGCTTTGGAAGCTGTCACACTACACAAACATATTAACCATGTATGGACCTTTGCTGTATGCCCTAAATAAAGTCATCCTAAGATGTTGTACAAACTTTCTTTGCTGGGAAATCCTATCTGTTATTTGCTTACCGGGACCCGGCCATCAGTCTGCCAAGTTCTGCTGTTATAGGGGGGATGATGGTCTAGCGTTAGTCTTTCTCACTGTGACTGATATTGGAAGGATTACGGACTGTAAAGCTGTTTGGTGCACCAGACCTCACAGGTAGATCACCCTTTTCTCTTTTTGTTGTCGCAGGGTCAATGTTCCGGGATGACAGGCAATACAAAGGAGTGCCAAGTCCCAGCATTCATGTCTCCTCTCCAGTTACACCAAGACCAAACACAGCAGCTCACCAGCTTCCTTCCTTTACTGATACCCCCCCTTCTGGGAGTCAGAACAGCATGTCAGCGGTAAGTGATCCTCCATGAGCTCAGGAATGTTGAATAGCATCAAGACGTTTCATAGGAAGACCAGAGGGCTTGCTATTGAATATAAAACACCTACGTTTCCCAGCACACTTCCCGGCTAGCCTGCAACAAAACAAATGACCCGGCCTAACAATAATATACTGTAATACAATATTCCTGAAACCCAAACTACTACCTTGCCTTAATATTTGGGGGGCGTTTTGTGGCAGAGCCCTTATTTTCTAATCTAGCACGTCTCTGCATGCCTCCACCCACACATCCATGCCATCCATGGTGGGTATTGTGTACTAACAATGACTACAGGTCCCGTCTGCAAATTGGAGTTGTAGAGAGCGGTACACCGGCTGTCCCTGGCTGCTCTGTAGCTGGGCGGCACTTCAGCAGGTTCATACCTCTGTGTGCACCTGAGGCTGGATGTAAACGTTAATAGAGCCTGTACATTGCACCAGCAACAAGGGATTGTGGTTGCAATGCTCTGCAGGCGTCATTGTTTTGGTGTATTTGCTAAATTGTGTGTGTAGGGGGGTGGTTGCACATATTAAAAGGCGTATTTCAGCTTTTGCACATCAGTCTTCCAAGTCCTCGGCATATGCGGGCTTGTGCAGTACAAGTTTTAACTACAAGCTTTTTTTTTCTTTTCAGGCTCTTAAGCGGAAAAGGTTTGAGAACTCCTATGACATTGACAATATTGTTATTCCAATGTCTCTGGTGGCAGCATCACGGGTGGAGAAACTTCAGTACAAAGAGATCCTGACACCGAGGTACGCACATCTCTACAGCCGCCCAGTGCACGCTGAATGTGTTCCCTCTCATCCAGTTCCTTGTAATGGGTCAGACAGTTTGTGAGCAGTCTCTGCTCTGTGTCCAGCTTTCCTCCCATTTGTTATATACAAAATGTGTCTTGATGGAGGAGCTGGAACGGTTCTTTTAGTTGTATGTTTTATAATTTTTTTTTTTTGTCTGTGTTCTTCAGTTGGCGCGTGCTGGATTCTTCGGAGAAAGACACGCTGGATAGGGATCCTCAGGTGAGCCGCCTGTCCCGCCTCATATTGGTACTAGGCATAGATTTGAGTACACCGGCTAGTAACCTCACATTCTACTGCAGATTGACTCCACTTGTACAGAAAATGTTACTACCCTGTTTCCCTGAAAATAATACCTAGCACTATTTTTGGGAATTGCTAAAATATAAGACCTACCCCGAAAATGATACCTAGTTGTGACCATCCCGGGGCCGGTGGTGGCATAAGGGGGAACTTGAAGAGCCGCGGGAGAGAATCAGCGATGGAGGAAGCGAGGCGGCACCAGAGGGAGCAGAGCCGCATAAGCCGATGCCTCCTCTATAGCGCCGGCTCCTGTCACAGGCGGAGTGATACCACATGCACTCCCCCCCGTGAGGAACCGATAGTGAAAGTGCACTTTGCTCATTCTGGCCAGCAATTGGTTAGCAAATTGCTCTTGGAAAGGCACGGCACCCCCGATTGCCCTGATCACCCTACTTTTTCTACATGAATAAGTGCGGATTGTTGTACATTAAAAAAAAAAAACCTACCCCGAAAATAAGACCCAGTGTGTTTTTTGTTTTTTTTGAGCCGGAAAAAATATAAGAGTCTTATTTTCAGGAAAACACGGTAGATGAAGAAGCCATGAGGGTTTGCTGTGCAGATGAGAAAATGTACCTTTTCTGCCTCTAACAATGCAACTATAGGGCTTATACCATCCAGAGGATGAGGGGGTCTACCACCATAATACAAGAATACACGTGGGATACCTTTAAAGTGAAGTTCAGTAGTAAATACTCTGTCCGGTCTCTGAACAAAAGCAATTGGCACCTTTTTATATAAAAAAACGTATTCTCACCCCTCCGGTGGGGTGTGATTCCTACCTTCCTCTGTCCCAGCGATGCATTCACCGTATAACTCTTTAGAGCGCCACACTTCAACTCCACACCTTGGGTGATGGTTGCTGGTTTTCCCTAACATGCAATGTGGTTTCTTCCTCTGTCCCCCCTTACATAAGTTCTGTATCCTGTAGGGGGGTGGGAAGGTGCAGCTATATTGCAGGGCTGAGAATGCTCGCCTCAAACACTTTAGGAAGTGTCAAGGAGACCTGGGCTGCCAGAGAGGGGGCTTTGACTATCTCTTCTATTGCAAGGGAGTGCTGTTTTACATTTTGCTTAGGGCCCTGAAGCTGTTTATAGGGCTATAGCTATAGAATGAGGGGTCTGCCACTATATTGCAAATGAGCAATACATGGAGGAAATGTCAAAGTGGGGTTCAGCTTTAATGACCGCTGTGAATTCTGTAGTGATCTGGACTATGTTTAGAATTTCCTTTTATCGGCTTCATCTGTGCACAGTTGCATCCATATGATACGACAGTCAGTGGGTGTTTTTAGTGTAAGAATATATATACTCTGTATTTTTTAGCTGGAAGACTTGTCTGACGATACATATCAAGACCGGCACAGCACATATGAGGAGCTTGAACGTTCTCGGTGGGATTCTTGGGCTTCTGCTACGCCCCAGCGACGAGGTAGCAGGTATGTGCCAGTGCTTAAGGTTTGGCTATAGATCGCTTTATGATGTTATACCTTTTAGAGCAGTTTGTGAAACTAAAGGCAAATGTTTTCTATTTGTTCAGATCATCCAACAGGTCAGATGGTCGCTGGACACCACAGCCTCCTAACAGCCAGGGATCATCTCAGCAGATGGACTCCCCAGACATCAGATTCCACAGCCTTAACGACTTCCCGCTGTCCCTGTCATCTGCTGCAGCTGACAACCCAGAGCCTTACAGCACTGTCCAATGCCTGTCCCTCCACAGCCGGCCCCGAGTCCTCTCCTGGAGTGAAGATACCAGATCTTCCACGCCTGAAATGCCAGATGACGAAGAACAGGTTTGTGGCAGATCTTCATTGTATAGAGGCCAAAGATACAGAATTGTGTGTTTGCAGTACCACCTCCATCTTGTTCTCCCTTTTGAGGTCCTTCTAAAAACACCATTACCCTGTCATAGAGGACACAGTATGCTCATCGACCTACCTGGTCTCCTACCTCACCATGCTTCCAGAACCGAAGCCTCTTTGCCATTCAGCACTTCTGGGAGCGTTGCATGCTTGTCTCCTGCTGAATTCTGTATTGATGTCGGAGAAAGGAACTGCGGCATGCAGCACAAGCATCCAACTCTTCTGAAGTGTCAAATGCAAACAAGGCTTCTGGAGGCTGCAGTTCTGGAAGCACATGGAGGTAAGAGACGAGGGCCACATGAGAGGTGAGCACACTTGTATGGCAAGGTATTGTCATTTTTTAAAGTTGTTATTATACAGGATTTATATAGCGCCAACAGTTTGCGCAGCGCTTTAGGCCCCATTCACACTGCGCGATTCGCAAATCGCGCATTTGTCGCACGATTTGCATTTTGCGCGATATTGCGCAAATGCTTGCATTGAATCGCAGCAAAATCCGCTCCAAAAAGGGTCCTGATGTAGCGACGCACGACCCGCGACAGCAGGACCCTTTGCCAAGCATTGGAGAGCGATATCGCGCGGTAAATAGCCTCAATATCGCGGGAATTACCGCGCGATAAATCGCTCAGTGTGAACGGGGGCCTTACAATATAAGGAAGACATTACAATCGCAATACAAATCAAGACAAGATGGTAAGGAGGGCCCTGCCCCTGAGAGCTTACACTCTACAAGGGAGGGGGAATTTATCTTTAGACACCTGCATATCTACTGCCTCCTCCTGCAGGTAACTCAAATTTAATGACAGGGTCACTTTAAAAATGTTTAAATGTCTGTAGCCTCACCACAGATTCCCTTTTAAATCAAATTTGGTGAAAATTATATTTATTCTTCCCGGAAAAAAAAAGGAAGTCCATGCCATTGTGCTGCCTAAATAGCATTTCTAAGCTGGCCTCCTATAAGCAGCAACAACTTTACACCTCCGAGGCCTTTACAGTGCTGGTACAGCATTTGCATCCTCTGGCTCCTTACTAAGCTGGCACGGGGCAGGCGGCGCATACTCTGAAAAGAGGAACCCATTTGTGATCTGTCTCAGAACCAGCTTGACAAAGGCCTTATGGATCTGTCCCTATTTATGGAATGGGCAGGTGTGATTTGCTGTTCACTTGCATCATTAGACAACACATCAGCTTCTTGTGGAGAGAGTGATGTTCAAATGTTTCATGTATGCTTATGATGCCATATGACATCCAATACACGGATCATGCAGAGCTTGGAGGGGGACTTGGCAGCAAAACTGACAATGGGAGATGTGTGTCAACACTGCACGCTGTAACTCCTAGCAGCAATGCCAGGCACGCAAAATGACCATGCCAGCATGGAGCTGCTTCTGTGCTTGGGAACAGGGACCAAGGGGAACTGGCAGGATCACCAGGTATTTAGAAGCAAGGGAAGAATAAAGTACTGGCTACACTGGTATGAACGCACAACATTGAGTCTTAAAGGAGAACTATGGGGTCAGTGTTTTTCCCATAGTTCTCCTTAGGGTCACGGGAGGGCATATACTAGCATCCTCCCGTCACCCAAAGCTCAGTATATAGGGAGCTACAGCTCGCGGTATACTGAGACCGCCGCAGCCGGGACGGATCCCAACATCACTGTTGAGATCCACCCAACTGCGTGATTGACAGCTGGCTCTGCCTATCTAGAGGCAGAGCCTGCTGTACCTGCCCCATCCCCCGTCCGTTCCGCCAGTCAGCGCTGTGACAGTCACCACTCCCTGTAGGGACAGGATCGAGAAGTGAGCGAGGGACAGTATGTGTCCGCTCACTTCCTGATCTATTGAGCCAACGTGTGACAGTTTCATTGTCACAGGTCGGCTCGAACTATGAGGCTGAGTGAAAAGCACCCCCCCTCATTGTTCTCCTTTTTAATTTTTGGGGTTCCATCTACTTTTTCCTCCAGACCCCTTCTTTCTAGAGCAAGAAAAGCTGCCATATTTCCAACATTTGTACATTTCTGTTTTAGAAGTAAAGCATTTTCTTTGACTTGCTGCACTCCCAGTTAAGCGTCACAATAGTCATCCCAATTTGTCTTCTCTAGCAGGTTATTCAGCCGTGGGAACAGCGCTTTTTCCCCCTCTCGGACAGAGACTGCCGCACTCTCCAGAACTCGCCTGGAACACCAAGCAGAGGCAGGACCAAGTCGCACCCGGACGTTTCATGGCAGACGTCAAGCAAGCCTGGCACATGGACTGAAAGCATAGACTCTGGCATGTCAACAGAAAACCTCACCCCAGCCTCCAAAGAGCCCCCCCTACCCAATAGCATTTCAGTAGTTCGAGTCCGAGCCCACAGTGGTGACAAAATAGCAAGCCTGGAATACTTTCCGCCCAGGCCGGTGAACAAGAGATGAGAGGTCCTCTTTATCACAGGATGTGTGAGCAGAGAACACAAATCCATATACTTTATTTCAGTATCAAGTGCTTGGCTGGCTTGCAGGCCCAAGTGGAGCATTAGGGTGCACCATAATGTAGGGGTTCCTGGGCTCAGCGGCACGCTGAAGCGAGAAGCCTGCGAGTGGTACAGCACAGAGCAAAAAGGCTACATGCTGAAACTCAATATGGGGCCACAGGAGGGTCTCCGTATGTGGATGACTCCATTTTCCTGTGGTCTCCTGGTAGCTGCGTAGGCAGTGCAGGTACATGGAGCAGGCTCGTGTAGCCGGATGAAAGAGGTGAAAGATTGGTAAAATTACAGAGCATTCTAATTGAAAAAAAAAAATTATGCGTATGAAAGTC